AATCATAGGAAGGAAGGAAAAGAAAGAAGAGTTTAGGCAGCGGCGTCCTCGTCCTCGGCGTCATCGTCTTCTTCGTCGTCCTCAACGTCCATGGGATCCCCGTCGACCGCGTCCTCAAAATCGGCCTCGTCGGGGGAGGAGGATGGAGCATAGGAGTTATCCTCCTCGTCCTCGCCTTCATAGTTTTGGCCGAGGAAGGTGCTGTCAAAGAGCGGCGGGACGTAGTTGATGCCGCGGAAGAACGCCGTCATGTCATGGTGTTGGCGTTGCAGCGTCCAGTCCATCCGCTCGATTGACTGCCCCATGCCATCCACTGTGAGGGTTAGCCGATTCAGAGTATCGGCTATGGACTGTAAGGACACCTTGGCGGGAGCGGAGGCAGGGGCAGGGGCACGGGCACGACTCGGTCCAGCGCCGGTTCCGTCACCGGACTTCATCCGGAAGGTGCTGTCTTGGATGATCCAAATCTTTGTCATCTTCGTATCCGGGCCGGCGATGGAGATGTCGGCGGAGATGATGAGGTCCATGAAGAGGAAGGCGTATGGCAAGCTCCGCTCAGTGGCGATGGAGGCGCAATCCGCCATGTGGATCATCACGAATTTCGCCCAATTAATGGAGGCGCCGTGGATGATGGCATGAATCGCCTTCAAGTCCTCGTTGAAGAGCGAGGTATGGCTGCTGTCCCGGGGGCGGAGAATCCGGGTGATGATGTAGAGGAGGAGGCGCTTGTCCGGTGGGGCCGAGTGAATCGTCGGTGCGCCGCTATGACGGATGAGGTTGGTGATCCCAAGCTCTCGGATGACAACCGCCTCGTTGTTGAGGATCCAATCATCGCCACCATAGGTTGCGATGTCGGCACCGCGGATGGGCAGCCCTGCGACCCGAGCGAAGGTAGGCAAATCAATCTCTATGTCGTAGAGATTGATGCTGCTGCGAATGGTGTCCCCGTCACGGCGGAGATTGGAATAGAAAGCCCGGACAAAGGCGGGATTGAAGCTCGAGCGGCTCTTGGATACGAATGGCCACAAACCCGACGCTTGGAGTTGGTTGTCGAGGTCGTGGTACCCTTTGTCTTGGGGAAACAACTCTGGGAGCACGCGAGGTGGAGAGATTGGGCGCTTGGCAAAGTGAGTGAGGAAGCGTGTTAGTTCTTCCTCTGACCCGAACTCAAGAAATGATCCGTCCAAATATGGGAACGGAGGAGGCGCGGAACTTGAGGGCTCGGCGGTGTTTTTCTTCTTGGAAGCCCTAGACTTTGATCTTCCTCCGGCCATGATTAAGGCGTTTTTGAAGAAATACTGAAGAAATGTTGAGATTAGGATAAAGGAATGAAATTATGATGTTAATGGTGTATTAGAATGAGCAAATATGAGGGATATATATAGGGAAAGGGAGATTAGGCCGTTTGGATTCAAAAATATAGCTGTTGGGCAATTAATGTGGTGCCCAACGGCTCTGAATTTTTGAAATGAAGGTGCCTTCCCAGCGATGGTAGGATCTACCCATCGATGGGAAGGTCGCCCCTGGAAAGCAAGGAAGGACCCAAGGCTGCCTTCCCAGTGATGTTTGCATTTTCCCATCGATAGGAAGGTGGCTTCTGGAAAAGAAAACATGGCCTTCCTAGCGATGTTAATACCATCCCATCGCTGGTTTGGTATTTTTGAAAATCCGTTAAAGAATTTTAAAAAAAAAATAGTGTCAAATACCCAGCGATGGGAGGAACTTCCCATCGATGGGTTTGGAGGTTCTGAAACAAAAACAGGAACTCACCCAGCGATGGGATAAACTACCCATCGATGGGTAAAGGCGTTCTGGAAATCTGTTAAAAAATCTTAAGTCAAACACCCAGCGATGGGAGAAAGTTCCCATCGATGGGTTGGGAGGTTCTGGAAAAAACATTTTGATAAAAGTCCTTCACCCAGCGATGGGACAAAGTACCCATCGATGGGTTAGGGTGTTCTGGAAATCCATTAAGTATTTTTTAAAAAAATTAGAGTCAATTACCCATCGATGGGAAGAAGAACCCATCGATGGGAAGAGGGGTTCTGGAAAAAGAGAAACTTCCCTCCCAGCGATGGTATGGCCTACCCATCACTGGTTCCCCCTGATTTGCAGAGTTCTTCACTTCGAACCGTCCCTGCAAAAAAGAGTTAGAAAACCCTCCAACGCTCAAGTTAGTAAACGTTCCAGTAACAATAAAAGAATGATAAAATGCACAAATTAGATCATCGTGGAGTCAAGGATTCCGAGTTCGCTACGAATGCGGAAGAACGACTCTTTCTCTAAAGGTTTTGTGAAAATGTCGGCCAATTGGTTGTGTGTTTCAACAAACTCAATTTCGACATCACCTTTGAGAACATGATCTCTAATGAAATGGTGCCTAATGTCAATGTGTTTCGTCCTTGAATGAAGAACGGGGTTCTTCGTCAAGCTAATGGCGCTAGTATTGTCACAACGAAGAGGAACGTGACTGATACTAAGGCCATAGTCCACGAGTTGTTGCTTCATCCAAAGGATTTGAGCACAACAACTACAGGCGGCAACGTATTCCGCTTCGGTTGTGGATAACGCAACACTGACTTGTTTCTTGCTAAACCATGAAACTAAAGAACTACC